CATGGCATTTGTTTTGGTAAAAGAGATGAGAGGATTTGGTCCCATAAGTGCAAAAGATCCGAGAGTCGAGTGTAATTTAATTATTCCTGACGAATTTATTGTAATGTCTTTAGATGTAAATTCATTGTTTACAAAAGTTACCGTTAATTTAGTTCTTGAAGGTTATAAACGTAGAAATCAAATGCTTATGAATTGTAGAATACCTTTCTCGGAAGTTATTGAATGTAAGAAACTTCTATTTAACAACACGATCTTCATTTTTAATCAAAAATATTATAAACAGATTGATGGCACACCTAAAGGTACTCTCTCACCTCTACTGCCTGCCTGCCTGCGCAGGCGCAATGAGAGTAAGGGAGAAAAACATTTAATTTAAATTTTCTGACTCTCTTACTCTTATGTGTTACCATGACGACCTGCAGGCAGGCAGGCAGGCAGTAGAGCTGTGCGAGCGCCTTAAGGGTACTCCCATTTCACCATTTTTTGCTGATATTGTAATGGATGATTTAAAAAGTAATTGTCTTAATATTCTAAAAACTAAATATAATTCTATTCCGTTATTTTATTTTAGGTATGTTGACGATATAATTATTTGTATTCACAAAAAACATATTGATTTAGTCGTATCCGTTTTCAATTCTCATAATAGTAATTTGCAATTTACACATGGTCTTCAAGTTGACAATCAGATAAATTTTCAAGATGTCACCTTAAATATTAAAAAGAACAAAATAATAAGCAAATGGTTTCAAAAGTCAACCTCTTCCGGTAGACTTATTAATTACTTTTCAAGTCATTCAATTCAGCAAAAAATAAATATTGAATACATTCTTATAGACAGGGCAATTCTTTTTTTTCACCAGTTTTCATAAAAATAACTTAATAAAAGTAACACAAATTCTTACCGACAATGATTATCTTTCTTCGTTTTTAATAAATATATAAAAATTCGCTTAAATAAAATTAAATTTGATGCTAAAGATCCAAAATCAAAAATTGGCTCACGCTCCTTTATATAAACAAAATCTAAAAATTTGCCTTCCATTCAATAATTCTAATTTTATTCATTTATCCAGCATTCTAAAAACATACAATATCCATTCTATCCCAATTGTTAATGAAAATCTTAAATCAATTGTAAAATTGGGAAAAGACACTACTGATAAGTGTCAAGAGACGAATGTTGTCTATAAGTTTAATTGTTTTGGACAAATGAAAACATCCAAAGAACAAACAAATGATTTATTGACAAGCATAGATTCTAAATAAAAACAAAACTGTGTTTCTAAAGAATATGTGGTAAAAATTTGGTAAGGATCGGGATTGAAGTACAAAAGATCCAATCCGAAAAGTCCAAGACGAAAGGTCCAATCCATAAGGTCCAAAAATTTATTTATCCAAAGTACAAAAAATCTAAGAGTACAAAAAGTCCAAAATTGCAAATTGTCGAAAATATATATATAAATACACAGGCCTGCAAATTTTGGCTTAGTTATGTTACAGAAAAAGTGGTAGGTGATTCTTATAACTTTTTTTCCAAAATGGCCCATCACGTCAGGATTTCTTGTAATATTGACTTAACCCTTTAACGCCCAAATGTGCTGTTTTCCGACTTGAATCTTAACTTCGTACAACTATTAAAAGAAAGCTAAAAAAATTTTTAAAAGTACCATTTCCTACTATTTTCGGGGTCGCTCTTTCGAATGGCGTTGTCAAAATTCCCAAAAAATTAAATTAACCCCCTCTTTTAATGAAATTTTTCAAAAAATGCAAGATTTTTGGATGAAATTTTTTTTTATTGCAATTTTTATTGATATATCGGTATCTACATATCGTCTAAGGTACAAAAACCGTATTCCCGATAGCTGTACTTTAAAAATATGTAGTAGTTTTTTTCCATTTTTTATTAAAAAATGGCGCCCGAACGCTAAATTTTTTTTATTACACATACAAATTATTTTTTTTAAATTTGCTTAAATTCGCTTGAAATTTGTTACTTGTGGGTTTATGAGGTCGCTGATTACGAATCTGATGTTAGTTTTGAAAAATTCAAAATGGCGGACGATTTTTTTAAAAATTTACCAAATTGACCTGAAACTTGTTACTCGGGGGTTTTCAGGGTCGCTGATTACGGATATGATGTTAGTTTTTAAAAAATCCAAAAAGGCGGATCCAAAATGGCGACCAATAAAATAAAAATCATTCAGATTAGCTTAAAAATTAGTACTCGGGGGTTTTTGGGGTCGCTGATTACGAATATGATGATAGTTTTTAAAAATCCAAAATGGCGGATCCGAAATAGCGACCAAAAAAATAAAAATCATTCGGATTGGCTTAATTCACATGATAAATAAAAAATGCTTAGTTATTTTCCTTTAATTATATTCCTTATTCAGTCATGAATAAATAAAAAATTAGACAAAAAAAATTTTTTTTTCTTTGGTGAAATCTCCACTTTTTAGAGGTCAACTATACCTTAGTAAATTTTTTTTGGCAGATTTCGATTAGTTTGCATTGAAAAAGCCTAAAATTAATAATTAAAGAGATTTTCATCGATATTTATGCATTACATACCTGAATTTTACTGGTGTTGCACATCACCCCAACTTTTTTGGAAAATGCAAAAACAGACGTTTTTGAAAAAGCGAAAAATTTGTAGGAAAAATTTAAAATTCTGAAAATCTAATAATTCAGAAATATTTTATTATGATGCCTCTAAGTTATTCAATTTTGATATATTTAAAAATTTAATTATTTGACATGTTTTTCGTCCAACGAAAAAAAACGTTGCACATCACCCCACATCACCCTATTCAAATAATAAAAAACATTTGTCTTTAGTAACTGAAGGTGACAAGGACTTAGAATAAGTTTTGGTAGATGTTACATCACGAGATAAAACTTTTTTTAATTTAACCCTCAATGTGTAAAATCAAATGAGCACTTTACCTCCCTTTTATTATTCGCTTAATAAAATTACCCTTGCCTTAGCTCGGGACGTGACAGAAGACAACCTCAAACAAAGTTTAATGATGAAAAAAAAGGTCCCCACTTTAAAATTCAATAAGTAATTAAACTAAGTTTTATGAAAGTAATGTTTCAAGTTTGACATTATTATTAATTGAGTATAAGTAAATTCCAAAATTGACCCAAATAACAATTTTCAAGCCAATCCGGATGATTTTTATCTTTTTTTTGTCCGACATATTAGATCCGAAATTTTAGATTTTTAAAAATTAACATCATATTCGTAATCAGCGACCCCAAAAACCCCCGAGTACCAATTTTTATGCCAATCTGAATGATTTTTATTTTTTTGGTCGCCATTTTGGATCCGCCATTTTGGATTTTTGAAAACTAACATCATATTCGTAATCAGCGACCCTGAAAACCCCCGAGTAACAAGTTTCAGGCGAATTTGGAAAATTTTAAAAAAATCGTCCGCCATATTGAATCCGCCATTTTGAATTTTTCAAAACTAACATCAGATTCGTAATTAGCGTTCGGGCGCCATTTTTCAATGAAAAATGAAAAAAAACTACTGCATATTTTTAAAGTACAGCTATCGGGAATACGGTTTTTATACCTTAGACGATATGTAGATACCGATATATCAATAAAAATTGCATTAAAAAAAAATTTCTTCCAAAAATCTTGCATTTTTTGAAAAATTTCATTAAAAGAGGGGGTTAATTTCTTTTTTTGGAAATTTTGACAACGCTATTCGAAAGAGCGACCCCGAAAATAGTAGGAAATGGTACTTTTGAAATTTTTTTTAGCTTTCTTTTAATAGTTGTACGAAGTTAAAATTCAAGTCGGAAAACAGCACATTTGGGCGTTAAAGGGTTAAATAGCCAAAAAATAGCTATTTTGGCCACTTTTCGGAATTTCTTTTGGTTCAAAAATTTTTTTTTAATTTGCAAAATTGCGTCATACAGTACTATATCTAAGCTTTAGAACCCATTTTTCAAAATTGCTTTACGTCTTTTTAAAAAAAAGTTATGTAGATTTGAAATTAAATGCCATTTTGAACTTCTTTATACCTTCATTTGCCTAAATAAAGAAATTTCAAATCTACATAACTTTTTTTTAAAAAATCGTAAAGCAATTTTGAAAAATGGGTTTTATGAGGAAGCAATAAAAACAATAGAACATATATTTTTTTGCACTTTTTATCTTTTTGAAGTTTTAAATTTAAAAAAATGAAATAAAAACAATAGAAACTATATTTTTTTTGTTTGGACTTTTTATCCTTCTGCATTTTTAATTTTTTGGATCTTTTGGTTTGGACCTTTTGTACCAGAACGAAGGATCGGTTAAGTAGTTTTGGAGATTTCATGAACAAGCGGTTGAAAAATATTGTTTTGAGAAAAACGTTTAAGTATTTTGTTATCTCTTCAACGCTCGATTTTTTAAAGAGCAAATTTTATCATCATTTATATAAAATGTTTTAAGAATAATAAGAAATGTAATTCGAAGTTTCACAGTAGTATATCCTCTAAAAATAAATAAATTTTTCGTTCCTTAATTTTTATTAGTAAGTATCGTTGCCGAAACGTGAGTGAACATTGTCAACAATACGTGGTCATTGTCACATATTTTTAGACACTAGTAAGGTTTACATTGCATGGCCAACAATTTTGATATAAATATTGTATTTATTACTATTTGAGAAATTGATATAATATATATAATATTTTAACTTATATGTAACATGTACGTATCACGAAATTACATATCATCTGTTTCCACATCTTATTAACGCATAGATAAAAGAACTGTAAAGTACGAAACAGATGTCCTCACAAGCTATAAATTAACATATTTATTTATTTTTTATTTAATATTACTTTGTATATTACTATAATAATAGCAAACCAAAAAACATGTTTATTAAAAATATTTGTTTAGACATTAAATATAGTTAATTTTTACCGTTGCAAACACAATCATATCCATGTCACAAAATTTTCCAACAGTTAGAGTTGAAGGTATTTGACCCCGGAGTATTATAGGTATAATTAATTTCTTTCCACGAAGTGGTAAATTGTACCATTCTCCTTTACATCTGCAAATTAAAAAATATATTAACCCCATAAACTAATGATATTTGTATTAAATTTTATCGTTTTCTCTAACACAATAATTAATAGAAATTGTGACGAAACGTTCGGCACTTGGTTGAATTCATTAAATTGTTTAAATAATTATTGTTCGTATTTTTTTATTATTATTGTTTATACTCCTGCCCTATTGGACTTACGCACTTCGACAAGAGTCCCCGAGAAATACTTTTTTGGATGAAGCATAACCATTCTACATATGAAAATTCTATATATTAACCTAATTTTGCGTCTACAGCCGACTTTTATTAGTGTGAGTAAACTAGGGTCAGTTCAGTTTCCGTGGTGATTAGAGGAACACCATCCCGTCGACCCTTTTCATCATTTGATTATTACCCCCAATATCATATATGCTTTCTTTCCGGTTTAGACAACTTTTTGAAAAATGGTGTGCCTTCTATAAGAATTTTTTTAAGTCTATGGCGTAATGGAATTGAGTACGCCATAGACTTAAAACATTCTTATAGAAGGCACACCACTTTTCAAAATGTTGTCCGAACCAGAAGGAAAGCATATATGATATTGGGTGCACTATTATTTCGATTATTGTTATCTAAGTTGAGGAATATAATTAATTCTATCATTATTAATTGAAGAGTTCTTTATTTGTATTATTAAGCGTGAGTAGTGTATATTTTGGCGACAAAATTTTTAAAAGGAATTTACTGGCGAGATAGATTAGCTAAGTGTAAGTATTAAACTGTCGTTTTCCGACATCATCAATCCATCTAGAACGTCGTTGGTATCCGTTGTTAGTCAAGCTGGACCTCACTTGCAGTTTTCTGAATCGTTTTTAATAAATTGTTTTTATTTGAATTAACCGACCGATACTAGATTCTATTAATCAAATTCGCGTCACAAAACAAGCACTCTTTGAATCTTAAATATCACTCCTTACGTATTTCCTCAGCAGGGGATATAAATTATATTTTCCTAAACTCTCTGGAGTATGAGTTTTCACAAATTGGTCTCCAAATGCAAATTAATATTTTTAATGACATTAAAAATTTCTATAGAATTTGGTACTTATTCAATATTCTAAAGAATATTGAAGTTCAAAAACGATTTTTAAATCATTCTGCAATGTTTAATAAACGCGTTCTCAAAATGTTCATTTCACAGTTACTGCATTATACAGCGGCTCTCTAGAGTTGAGACAGAATTGAGATAGTGTCGTTCTGAGCTATCGAAATGTAAAATTCTAATCACTGTAAGTGATTTTGTCAAAAGTGTGTCAACTGTACGTAGTGTTCACTATGTATACAAGTAATATATTCTAACCTAGGGATTTTAAAGGTACTTACGTTTCTTTAGAAACTAATAAACTGCTGTCCAATACACTTTGAGCCGGCAACGTTAAACAGAAAAGATGAATTAAACATGCAGTAGCAAAACTTCCGAATTTGATTGTTAGAGTATAATCATTAATTGAGTTCAAAGTCTAGAGAAAAAAACAACATTAATTATTATAATAATTAAAGATTAAATATAAAAGAAAATAAAAAAACCATATGTGTGTTACGGGCAATGTTCGTAATTAGATAGCTTTTTTATAGCTTCGGATATTTACAAATCTAAGTTTAAAGAATTATTTAACCAGAGGAATTCGTCGCTTGGGGAGAAGAGTATGCCAACTCAGATCAACGATGAAAACTGCATTTTCGGGTAAGCGGTAAAAAAGTACCAATTCAGACGAGCAAGGAAGGAAGAAAGTGTCTTTACAGGAAAGTTAAAAATTTTTTTCCTTTTTTTGGGTTGTAAAGACAAGAATTTTGATCATTGATTTTAAATATTTAAAAAAAAATTGTATTTACAACCTAAAAAAAAGTAGTGAGTTTAAACAATCTTTATCAAATGTAGAAGTGGATATCGCGAATTTAAAATGTGCAAATGAAAAGGTTTTCTCTGGTTTGGAAGACTGCAAAGTTAATTGCAGGAATTTAGTGCAGGAAAACTCACATTTTAAGAAAAGGCTGGACCAGTTGGAGTCTGCGGTACACTTTTTGCAGAAAAGGGAGAGAGAAAAAGACATCATTATCTTCGGTGTCAATGAAACTGAGAATGAGAACCTCTCAAATATAGTGCTCAACTTCTTCAATTCTTCTGGAATTGACATAAAAAAATATGATATGCAATTAATCATGAGACTAGGAGTTAATAAAGGTACCCGTCCTATTAAAATAATTTTTAATAATGTTCATCTAAGAAATTTGGTCCTGAGGAATTGAGTTAAATTCAAGAATTTTAATATAATTGTCACCAACGATCTCACGAAAGAGCAGAGAATAGAACGCAAGGAGATTCGTACGCAGCTCTTTGTTTACAAAGATAAGCTTGAAAAGTTAGGTAAAAACGCGAAGATTCAAAACACTAGGTTGATTTGTGAAGAAAAAGTCTATGATGTACACACGATCCACGAATACTTGCAATCTTTGAATGTGACGGTAAACAAAGATAAAGACAGTGTTTACGATTCTTACAGCAAGGAATCTGTTCATTCTACGGCATCTGCAGCCAGTCGAAAGAGGAAAAGGCCTACAGATTCAAAAAACAGTGCCCTGAAAAAAAAACCTAAGAAATCAACTTCAAAACAATCTTCAAGCAACTTTCTGAATTTTATTCGAAAGGAGGCAACCTTAGTCAGGGATCAAGAAAATGGAACTAAAGTTTAAAAACCTAAACAAGATTTCGCACCCAGGATTTTTTTTCTGGAATTCTAGAGGCACAAAAAATATAGCAGATCTATTGGAAATTTCACGCAGCGAGGATATATTATGCTTCACCGAAACATGGGCAACAGCTTTCCCCAGGTTTTTCATTTCTCATTCAGATTATCAAGTAGAGATAATTTCAGTATTTGCAACGAGGAGTGAGGGAAGAGGAAGGCCAAAAAGAGGTTTGCTAATTTTACTCAATGCGAAATTTTACAAGGTAGAAACTCTTAATAAAAATGATTCATATATATTTATCTTGATAGGTATGTATTAAAAAAACTAATATAAAATTTATTTTAGGTCTCTTATATCTTAACCCTTCTGTTTTTAACTTCGATAAACTCGATTCTTTGAATGAAATTATACAAAATGTAACTCAAAATCACAAGGATTCCGCAATCTTTATAGGCGGAGATATGAATGGTAGAGTCGGGGACTTAAATCAGTTAGATGGGGAATTGAACTTATTTAATAATAATATCACTAATCATAGATTGTCCCTCGACAACGTAACAAATAGTAGAGGTCTTAAACTTACTGAGGGTTTCGAATCAGAGGGCTTATTTTTGCTGAATGGAAGAACCACGGGAGATGAACCAGCGAATTTTACATTTGTAAATGCTGTCGGTGGTAAATCTGTAATTGATCTGATCTGGACTAATGTTTATAGCACTTATTTGATTAAAGAATTAAAAGTAATGGATTTTGTCTGTAATTCGGATCATTTTCCCGTGGCCCTTTCATTAAATGTCAAGTGTGTAAAAAATGAATCGAGGCGTAAATTTAAGTGGAAGGATGACCTGGGTGATGATTTCAGAAGAAACATAGGTTCTGCCCTGGTTCCGATGCGTTCAGATGATAGTGTGGATATAGTATCAAAAAATTTAATAAACACAATCAAGAAAGTATCAAAAAATCTAGGTACCTATGGTTTCCGGTATTAAAAAAAGTTTGTCACTCTCTAAACCATGGTTTGACTCTGAATGTGCAAATAGCAAAAAAAATCTTTAAAAAATGTTAAAAGAATGCAGAGTAGTGGGCTTCTCCCAAAGCATAACTGATAAATATAACCGTTATAAAAAAAATTCATGCTTACTTATTAGATAGGGAAAAAAAATTTACAACGAATATTTTTTGGAGATTTTAGCCTCGGCAAAAGACCCCACCTCTTTTTGGAAAATCATTAACAGCTATCGGCGAAAGGCTCCCATAAAGGATGAGATTGATTTGAGTTCATAGTATAGTTTTTTTAAAAATTCCTATCCGCTAAGAAATCAACACAATTATATATTGGGAGTTCTTGAATTTAAAAATGAGTTGTTGGACTCTGTTATTACGATCGATGAAATAATAAATTGTCTTAAGAAATCTAAAATTAACAAAGCTCCCGGTCCGGACAAAATTCCATACGAATTTTTTAAAAATTTACCCGAGGTTGGCCTTAATTATATTTCAGTTCTATTCAACAGGGTTTTAAGTAAGGAAAAAATTCCATTATCCTGGGTGCACTCGGATACAATTATGATATACAAGAAAGGTAACAAACTTGATCATTTAAACTACCGTCCAATATCTTTGTTAAACTGTATCCTCAAGCTCTTTACACAAGTCCTCTCGTCTAGAATCAATCGCTGGATTGAATTAAACAGTTTAATACCTGAATTTCAGTCTGGGTTCAGAGAAAAACGCAGCTGCATTGACAACTTGTTTTCTCTTAACTCTGTAATTCAGAATAGATTGAGTCTAGACAAAGGCAAATTATTTGCATTGTTTATCGATTTTAAAGCTGCGTTTTTATCCAGTGCACACCATTAGAACTCGGCAGTCGATAAACCGGTTGTACTCAGGAGAGGTTTTCTACAGTTTCCCTCTTCTCTGGCGAGAAAACCCATTGACGGATGGTCCAGGCGGAATGCGAGTACTCCTAATAAAAGTCGGCTGTAGACGCAAATTAGGTTAATATAGAAAATTTTATATGTAGAATGGTTATGCTTAATCCAAAAAGTATTTCTCGGGGGCTCTTGTCGAAGTGTGTAAGGCCAATAGGGCAGAAGTATAAACAATATTCGAGAGCAGACATGTCAGTGAAGGGGAGGGTTGAAGGCTCGGATCCAATCGAGGTAACAGAAGGTGTTTTACAGGGAGAAACATTAAGTCCGGTCATTTTCAATATATTCATAGCCGACATTGAACAATTTTTAATAAGTAAGGGGGTTAGGGGGGTATCGATA